AGGACACGGCAGATTCAAACACATTCTCACACACAAGAGGCTTGCCTACTATACAGGCTTATCACACAGCAGCGGTATCATCATGTAGCTTTCCAACACTTAAGAAAGATAACACAAGACAAAACAAAAAAATTACAGGAAAGTCAACTCGGTCAGTCAATCAGTGTTGTGCAAAAGCAGAGTAACCCATCCCTTTCTGTTATCTATACACTGTTTGCTTCCTGTTATGGCTGCGATTATAGCTGTCTCCATCACCAAAGCCCACTGATATCGCCGTGATCAGACTAAAGAAATCAAGAAAGTTACCCCATCAATGGGAACAACCCTCAAAAGAAACAATCAACTTCCAGGCATTGACTCTACAATCTGGAGGATTACAGTTCGCAGGAAAACAATGCAGCTGATTAATCACAAACAGATAAGCGACTAAAGAGCTCACACTTTCTATCTTTTTTTTTTTTTTTTTTCCCTCTACATCCAATCATATGAAGTCAGTCACAGCCAAACTAAGCCGCAAACACACCAGATTAGATTTAAAACCTCAGCTCAGTTAAATGTCTTACTATACAGCCGGTGTCCAAACAAGGGTCAAAGCCATCTGAGTGAAAATAGTGCCATTACATATGATGACAACCTGTAGAACAATACAAAAGAAGCACAAAAAGCAGGTGATCTTACCTGCTGAGGAGTTTTGGGGAACAGCGGTTCAGTTGGCTTGATGAGCTTCCCCACAGAGCCCTGCACTCCCTTCTCTCCCTTGGTCATGGCTGAGAGACTGTGTGTGAGGCGACAGCCGTACTTCTGAGGCTGTGTGTGTGAGAGCGTGTTGAAGTGAGTGTGGCTGTGACTCCTTGTGTGAGCAACAGCGCGAGGAACCTGCCACTGGGTGGTGTAGGTCAGAGGCTGAAACTGGATGTGGCTCTGACTCCGGGTGTGTGTGTGTTGCGCGTGGGTGACAGCTCCAGAGGCTGGGAGCTCCTCCTGCTCCTCTGTGACAACTCTGCCGCTTTCTGCTGCCATTCACATGCTGTTGTGCTCTGGAATGAGGCCAGGAGGGAAGGGAAAAGTCAGACAGGCACTGCTGCACACACATACACACATACACATATATGCAAAGAAAACACACACATACACTCAAAAACACGCATGTACTGCAACATACCATCACAAGAATGCCTGCACATAAGCACACACATGTATGAGCACAGACAAAGACATGCTTTTTGGAAAACACACATAAATGGGACAAAGAGCACAGGTGAATACAAATGCAGGAGAATGCAACAAGAAATCTCTCTCTCTCTCTCTCTCTCTCTCTCTCTCTCTCTTTCTCTCTCTCTCTCACACACACACACACACACACACTCACACACATGCGCGCGCGCGCGCACATGAACACACTGTACCTTAAGCGACCTTTTCAAATATACAGCCAACTAAAAGTCATTCAGGTTAACATCATCTGCTGTATCTGGCATGCTTGCACAGCTGCTTATGACTGAGAATGAGCAAACGGGGCGCGAAATGCGACGATGTCCCGTGCAGGATTGTGTTGTTGTCCGACCTCATCTTACTATTACTGTAAGTGCATCCATCAGCAACCACTCTGCACACCTGATAGGAACACTGAAGCGTGTAAAAAAAAAAAAAAAAAAAAACCACACAAAACTAGAAGAAAAATACCATCTTACCCTGTGCTGATGGAGAAGCAGCCAGTGCTGTTAGCGTTGCAGTCAGTCAGTCAGTTAGTTAGTTGTTTAGTTTGAGCAGCGGGGTGATCTGCCAGTCAGTCAGCCGAGTAGGATGAGAAGGAGACTGCGGAGGATGGAGATGGTCTGCGCGTCTCCACTCTCAGTTGTTGTCGGTCTGCAGTGACGGTGCTGCGCCCTGCAGCGGCTGTGACGGTACATGACACAAACGGATTGCATGTATGCATCCATATGTGTGTGTGTGTGTGTGTGTGTGTGTGTGTGTGTGTGTGTGTGTGTGTGTGTGTGTGTGTGCATCACTAAGAAGGTTATGGCAGGCAGATGGTTTGACACCAGCAGTGTGTGTTGGGATGGAGAGCCACTGCGGTGAGCCTATGCAACAAACACACAGTTGTTTACAATATTTTCTTGAGGCTTACATAGTGTTTGTTGCGTTAAACACTTTTTAATCTTATGAGATCATCAGCATACAAATCAAAAGTGGCTATTTTCTTAGCACAAAGTGATCAATTTCATATAGGCTTGACCTCTTATAATGAGTTTATTCCCACACCTATTAGATTCCCATTAGAATGTCACGAAGTGGTGTGGTAGAGAAGGAATGTCTAAAATGTAGTTTGGTTTCATCTCAATTACCTGTGCGGTTCTTTGGAACAGGGAACCGGAAAGGTGTGTGGGTGTGTAATGACTGACAAATCCACTCAAGCATCCAGCAGATTTCATACACATATTTCCCACACTGCATCATCATCATCATCATCATCATCATCATCATCATCATCATCCTCATCATCATCATCATCATCATCATCATCATCATCATCATCATCATCATCCTCATCATCATCCTCATCATCATCATCATCATCATCATCCTCATCATCATCCTCATCATCATCCTCATCATCATCATCATCATCATCATCATCATCATCATCCTCATCATCATCATCATCATACAATCATCATAATTGTCATTATAGTGTAAATCGCACTGCAAAGTCATTATCATCATAATGAGTATAATTTGTAATTGTTTCAACTGACAATTACAAATTACACATTTAAGATTGTGCATGTGTGGTAGGCCTGTGTCACTACAGTGATTAAGCACTGCACCTATAATGTTAGGATAGGTCAAAATCAAAACCAAAATATCCTGACTTTTAGTCACTAGGATGGGTTAAATACGAAAAACACTGGATCCTGTATTGCGCATAATGCAACTCTAGTCATACCAACATTTAAAATGGTGTATAAATGTATTTTAATTCATCTGGATTTACCAACTGAGCAGGCAGTTGGTAAGCTTGTTAGCTCTGAGAGCTTTTTTCTCTCTTCAATAAATGATTACTGAATGAAATGATGTAAAATTCAGAGAGTAAAATGCTTGGGGGATTAAACAGTACAGTAGCTACAGAGGAAGGAGAAAGAAGTTTGAGGACTGACTTGTTAGCCTTTCCTGGTTATCTAGCATGTCAGAGGTAATCTCACCAGCTGCAGTAGCTCACAAATTATCCCTGCCACCCTCTATTCTGAACACACCTTCACACTGCCCCTGTCTTGAAAAGTCCACTTCTTTCAAACGCAGCACTTCCAGTTTGTGGTGCAGACTTTTTGTTCAAATTTTTAAATTTAAAAATTGAAGCCTCACAGAAGAAATGATGGACATTACACATCTGATACACAGGCTGAACAGCAGTTGAGTGCACCTTTAACTGTAGGTTTATACTGTATTTCCTTAAAAAAAAATAATAAAAAAAAAATTCACAGAGTTAAGATGGAGTGTAAATTGTGCTATCAGATCACTATTTTGTTTAATTTTGGAACCCTTCATTATTCTTTGTAATAAAGTGTTCTTAAGCTGCACTCTGAACAAAAGTAAAGTATGTCTTTTCTATGCATTTTTGTCAGGTTTGGGAATGAGATATGGTTCTACACACAATAATGCTATTTTTATAGACCCTTCTTTGAATGTGACTTATGATATATTGAGCATTTTCACAAGCGGCTCTTTTAGAGCAGGATGCTTACTCTCCACAGTGAGCCTCTCCTCAGAGCATGACAACAAACATGTCATGGAGACCTTGGCTTCTGAACCCAGACCTCTCCATAAATTCCAGGCATGCAAACCCCTCTACCAAAACCACATTACTGACAATGAAAAAGGCACCACGGCAGAAAAGTCAGGCATATGAGCTGCATTAGAATGGGTATGTTTCCGATAATGCGTGAAGCGGAATGTGGAAAATGAAAGGTTGGCTGCTGCACAAGTAAAAGGGTCATTCTGAAAGGAAATGTGAGAGTTAAACGGAAAGTAATTCCCTGCATGCTTAGCCTTATTAAATATGTAGCACAAAGGAAATGTGCTCCCTTTTACTCTTTAGCCAGACCCCCTCTGGCTGTCAACCAAGTGATGCCCACAGCCTGCACGTTCAGGTAGAAATGCTAAAATGTGCAGCACGGCCTCATAGAAAGGCAATTCTTCAGAGGGGATTATGATATTCAAGGCATTTCTGCTGCTGAGTTTCTTCCCCTGACCTTGACCATCCTGAGGCTGTCATCTCAAATACATACTCTCTCTTGTTCTGTACACACATCCTCTCCCTCCTTCCCATTGCTTTAAATATTGAAGACGGATAATGGCGTTCGCCTTCTTCCCAAGGCCCTGCAGAAAGCCCGGGCACAGAGAAGGAAGCACACACTTGTGTAAAAGCACACGCATGCCTTTACACATGCCAAGAAACATAGGATTCAACACTCAAGGGGGTGGGGGCAGCAGGAACTCAACTTTGTTTCACCCCATCTGCATTGTATGTTTTACTTTCAATATCTATGGTTTTACTCCTTTTTTGCCTTCATTAGTTTTGTTGTGAAGCAACTGATTTCTAAAACCACCTGGCCACTATTACACACAATAACAGGTGTGGTTACACTTCACGCCATCTGAGCCATTGCCTTTCATACTCACTGGGTTAGGAAACACCAGTGTGAAGACATCATTCCTCCTATTCCGACTTGTCTGACATCAGTAGCCCCTCCCCGCCTCCTTAAACTAAGCCCCCATTAAATCTGTAATGACAGCACAGATGTTGCATTACAACATGGAATAAGGTGCTGCTTGGTGTGATGCCGTAATCACCACACCAGCAGTCTTAACACACAACACCTGGGCAGTATTAATATGAATTTAAATTCTCAAGGTGATTTGCTTTAAAAAAATAAATAAATAAAAAATACCCCACTTCACGTGACTGTTTTACATCAAAAAGTAAATCAGAGACAAATGCAGAAGTTTGAAGAAGGTTTTTTATTGTACTTTGATAGGTGATATTTCTTTAAATGGTGCAGTCAAATGAAAGAATACAGTGTACACTCTGAATTACATCTTCCTGCAAAAGCAAAGTCAAGTGCTCACAATAAATGACATAACAACTAATAGACCTAAACAGTCAGGCCAACATAAATAACAAGCTGTCATCTCTTTTCTTTTTCTCATAATCCTGTCCAAAGAAAATATCATATGTTCAATAAATATAACTGTAAACTTCAAATTGAAGTATTAGCTGCTTGTTTAACTGTAAATAGTGCAGAAAAGTGGTGTTCAGAGTTTGGGAAGACTTTAGAGAGTTGGTTGGCGGTGCTGGTGGTGGCATTGTGTGCGATCGTGAAGGAAGGAAGGAGGGAGGGAGGGTTACATGTAGCATACCGACAGATGGAAACACATGGTTGGCCATCTGTACGGGCGACAAAACTGGTTTGCTTTGACAGTTTTTCTGCAGTTTGGGGGTTTGGGGAGATCTGCTGGCAGGTAAACACTGTCCTCCAGAGGGAGAAGACAAAGTAAGCATCGACAACAGCACCTCAGCAGCACCTTTTGTAACTAACAGACAATATCTCCATTAGATAACCCCACACAGAGACTGTAGAGGGAAATAACAATCATCAAATGCAGCACAAACTGCAGAGTAAATAAAGATCATACGTTACAGGGGGCATTGAGACTGCTATCAGGGGCATGGTGAGATGTCAGTGAGGGAAAAAGTGGGAGTGTTGTGTGAATTACGGGGCCCTATAGGTCAGGAGTGCCCAAACGGAGCCTGTGTGTTCAGGGGTCTCTGGACAATGACAGCATTGGCCAAGTCCGCCTCTTCCAGACTTAATTCTTTGTTGCTGAGCTCTCGGAAAGGAAGTGATGTCGTCAGGATGAAAGGTGGGCAGCTCCTCTGGCAGCGCGCCACGAAATCTTGAACATCAGTGATCCTAGAAAAGAAACAGAATTATATATAAAAAACAGACAGACAGAAATATTCCCTACTGAACATGTCTGTTCCTTTTCCAGTGGCAAAGCATTCCCGACCAAATACTCTCTCTAAAGCACTATACTAGTATCATCATCCATTATTAATCACGACCCAGCATACACAAGTGATCCTATGGCGGCCCTTCTCTTCACACACTGAGGATAGCTGAAGGTTGGAGGGGTTCAGTCCTCTCTATCCTTTAGCTACTAACCCTGTTATATAAATGCTGCATCAGAGTTACGCAATCTCTCTCTGGGGATTTTATAGATCCACTCCATTGCTACATCTCAGATTATGTTTTCTGCAGCCCCATGCACTGTGGCAGGGGATATAACATGCACCATGCCTTCAAACTCAGGCAGACTAGAACAAAGCATTACATAATCCTCAAACAAACCCCCCCACCACCTCCTAAGCTAGGACAAACAAAAATCTTTTGTCATTCCTTGAACTACTTCTATCCTGCGACGCTTGAGATTATGGGATTTACAGACAGCAGAGCATGAGCAGAGAGAGTGTCTTTACTATGCAGATATTATCTGATGCTGTCAGGCTCACAGATTGAGATGTGGAGAGATGCGTTTTGGCCTTGACATCGTGATACCCACCGATGCGATAGGTTAAACCTCTGTACCAATCTCCTGCCGTCAGCCAACCAGATCTGCAGGGATGTAACAGGAAGGGCGTGGTCTAGTGTTACCATGGGGATAGGAGGAGATTCTCCATCCTCATGCACAGACGGTGACCTGGCCACTACTCTGGGCGCAACACTGGGAATGGACAGGAATAAATAACAGATTAAGAATCAGTTAGAAGTTCAGTATATACGATATATATGCATTGTGTTTTTGTGTTTTTTAATTTTGATTACAGTTATTTGTGGGCAGAGAAAATCTCACACAAAACATTTATGTGGACTCTCTGAGCAATTTAGTATTATGCAGTGATGCTTGAAAATGTTGAGGCTCTCATTTCATCAGTGTGACTGTCTGCTTGGTCAGATTCTTTTGCGGGTGTTTTGATACCTGGATCTATAGGGACACCTAGTGGTACAAAACAGTATAGTGTCCCGGAACTTGGCAGACACTACTTATATTAATAATGACTCAACAGGTGCAATAGTTACATGTTTGTATGCAAAAAGAATTATTTTCAAAAAGAATTATCCTTAACTTTATTATTACCTTATTGTCACAGCGACAATCTCTTACCTGCCAAGCCGGTATCCTCGGCCGCTGAAAGGGTGAAAAGCCTTTTTCTTGGGAACATAATTTTCCTCTGTCAGATCCTCCACACTGATCTCCAGCTCCTCCTCTTCTGCTCTGCTCTCCCACTCGGCCGGAAGCTCCCTGGGATAGATTAGAGATAAGATCAGCCTTGTCTGGTCAGATCAATCAATATGACAAATGAGCTCTAATGAGTCTTATGCTTTATCTATCTTATGTCGCCTGTTTTTGGTGCTAATTTCCCTTTGGGGACTGATAGGGTTTGACTGCAAGGTCGAACCAATGAATCAAAACAAGGACGTTTCGCTACATATGAGTTACATTCATTACACTATACACTGTATAGATACAGTATACACATTTTCATGTAATGTGAAGCTGCTAAAGGTTTGTTCGCATTTGTGTTTCTTAAAAGAAAAAGTGAACCGCCATTTTGATCTTGAGCGAAATCTCAAAATTGGTCATCTGCCAGCAAAACCTTAACAAGGGATCCCACACCTTCTTATTCATCCAATGCAGGGACTTTTCAAGGAATTTCAAGGCCCAAATCTCTCAAATTCAAGGACCCAACAAACAGTGTGAGCCATGGTTCAAGATTATTTAATGTTACAACAGTGTTAGAATTTTAATAATGAGAGCTAGCAGCTTTACAGAAGATAAGTAAAAAGACAGAGAGGCTTGAATGTGTGAACACTTCTCAGCTGTGCTGTGTTACAGTGATGCAGACTATGTGGCTGCTAACCTTCTCTAACCCAGCACAGCATAACAATATATTGTGTAAACTGAGTGACAGAGACAATACGAGTTCATTTTCATATCTATAGTGTAATGTGGTCTTATGATTATTTGTGCACATAAAAGCCCAAGTAGGAACAAGAGTTGAACATTGGCAATAGCTATAAATGTGCTAAAAATCTCTGTGCAACACATCAGTTTCATGCTTTGTATTTGAACTATATTAAATTGCACCGTCCCCATGAAGAAAATTCAAAAAAGAAGAGGAAGGGAAAATATATAAAGCACTCTCAATGACACATGTCCATTTATGTCTACTTTCAAAAACTTTCAAGGCTTTAATTTTTTTTCTCTCTTTTTCACAAACTTTCAAGATACTTTTTAAAGTCAAGGACCTGTGGGAACTCTGCTAAACTAAAGAAATCCTAATTTTTGTCAAAGATATCATTTTCAAACATGGTGACCCATATCTGTGGTCAGTCAGAATGGATCAACACACATCATCCAACCTGATTTTATGACCGTTCCGTACTTGAGTTGAGCAGAGGTTTAGACTGCAAGCTAAAAGGCTCAAACTCAGATTTATTTGCTATTTATCTTATGTAATTCTCTGTTATTCTGTGGCTTTACAGTGGTGTTTATGGAACTAAAATGCAGACTCTATTAACCTTTGACAGCAGTCTTATATGAATGGGTAAAACAAGGTTTAACTCACATTCATTAAGCCAATATCATATGCACATCAACTATATGACAGTAGCATACTGTCATTAATGGGTTGTTGTTTTGTTTTTTTTATAACTTTCGGTTTTTATTAACGATCAGTGAGTCAGTGGTACAGGTTACAGTGGCTTGCAATAGACACAAGTCACATTTTCTCAAAACAACCCAAAGCCAACAGAAACAGCTAGGGGTCATTATCAGCCAGGAAATAATAAGTGTTTTAACTCTGGTCACTTGCACATTGCACTTGCAGTTTTCAAGTACAGGCCAGAAGGTGAGTTATTAAAAGCCAAAAACATTTTAGCACTTGTGGGGTAATTGTTGTGTCACTGGAAATAATCAGAAACCCTATCAGACCTCAAGATATTACTGTTCTTTTGTGCCTTCAGACAGCAAAACCATAACCAATATGCCTTTTAATATACTTAAGAAATTCCAGCAAGGCCAAATTTAACTCACCCCCTCTTGATTGCATCCAGGAAGTCTTGGTTCTCTGGTATGGAGTAGCTGCGAAACTCCTCATCGTTTACAGTGAAACCGTCCTTCCACAGCCTCACCACCATCTCCACCTGGAGTGAAGGCCACAAAAATAACAACTGTGGTGGCCATGCATTTGTCAATATGGGTGAGTTAGTATGCACAAAAACCTGCTATGTCACCTGAATTTTTAGCCTAAACACCTTCCCCTGAAGCTATGTGAAAACCACTAATGTTTTATTTGTATATATTTTGTATGTATATTCATATATCTGATGTATGTATATCAACTGAGGCAGAGGATTTTAATTAATTATTCATTTATTCTTAGATGATGAGTTCATGAGTATATTTATGCAAAGTTCATTACACAAAACACAGAAAACTGTCATCAATTTCAAAATACATTCTGTGGACATGATGAAGATTTCCTTTCTGGACATTTGCAAAGATATGGCCCTGAGGATTTAGTGGGGAATTTGTTTCTGACCTTTGATGTCCCTGAGGCATTGTAACATATCTTCTCCACCTCATCCAGGAGGTCTTCCACCGAGAAACTACGCCTCATTGGAACCTCCTCTTCATTTTCTTCACTGACAACCCTTTAAGAAATGGACAAGTGTGTAATTCAGTCATTATATGCCTTATTGAGTTTAGCCTACAGACACAAGGTTTATTTGGTTTACTCTCTGATTTGCTTTTGTCAGAAGAAATATTGATTTATAGGCCCTGGACTATAGGATTTAGGAATGTTTTAAATAAGATGTTTTCTTTAAATATAAAGAAACTAGAAAAAATAATGTGCAATGAATTTGCTGTGACTTACCAATTTTCATCTTTCTCGCCCCCCACAGTGTCAATCTCTTTCATGACGTTCCGTATTTCCCATCTAAGGAAAACAAAACACCTTATGATAAACATAAAAGACAGTGGGCAAAGCAAATGTCATGATGGGGCTTGTTGGGGCAATTGAGCTTTAAATGCGTACTTCATGTATTTTCATTTAAGCATAATTAGCTCAGCGGGTTATGACGTGAATTCATTCACGTGTACACAGTGAAGGTAATAAAACTGCTAAAAATTGTCAAAACGGATGAAGTCATTTATTAAAAACCTCTATCGATAAACAACCAAGCAGCCTGTGGCGTTATCGTTAATTATGTAAGTGGGCGTCAGAAAGAGCCAACGACACAGGACTAATATACAATATAACATGGATTATATACACATAGACACACAGTAGATGCTCGTTAGCATGCGCGTATTAAGGTTAAGGTTAAATACTGATTTACCAGTCTGTGTTTTGTCGGTTAATCCCAGGCTACACATCTGCAGCCATAAATTTCGGCCAGCGGATCTTCTGCTGAGCAATATATGTGACGCAACAGTGCCGTAAGTCGAGTCTTGTTGTCGTAGTAGTCATTTTATACTGCTGAGGTCAGCAGACTCACTTCAAATTGAAGATGACACAGTATTAAATAGCATGTGAAACACACCTGATACACACAGAAGTGATACTACAATATCTATCTATCTATCTATCTATCTATCTATCTATCTATCTATCTATCTATCTATCTATCTATCTATCTATCTATCTATCTATCTATCTATCTATCCTGGTTATCAGCCTTTCATTACAATAGCAATAGCCTACCACTGTTTTCACATCCATCCATCATATTGTGAGGGATGTAATGACAGTAATTTGGCATGTATGATAAACATTGTCTTCACTATGCGGTGCTTGACAGAAAATTGCATTGCAGTAAAATATACATTTCCTGTAATCTTCTTCTTGAAACATATGGTGCATCTGTGGTGTAGTGAGATCATAAAGACCATGTCTAGATAGTACAATGTTGTCATAAGATTTAATTCTCTGTATTAACAAACAAACAAGCATGTTTTTTACTCTTTCACATTCTATGTAATTTTAGACTTTTGAGATGTGTCACATAAGAACATGCTGAATGGTGAAGACAGAGCACTGTGTCACACAATGTTAACATCAAGTCTATCTTTAATGTTTTACAAAGACATGTTTTCAAGTGGTTAAGGGTTCCAGTGAGGAATGTTGCAGACTATCTAGACATTGCCATGCCTCCTATTGGCCACTTGGTGCAGATAACCTAGCCACAAGTGAATGAATATACATGCATCAATGAAGTAATACTTGCATCAATTAGTATTTAAATAGTAAGAGAATAATACTATAGTCTTGTGTTTAGCTTTTTCTGTTGTTCAGTTTTTCTCACATTTTGATCACAGATGCTTTCGACACCTCCATATATGTGAACATATTGTAAAGTTTCCATGAGAATAAAAATAGTTTTGACAATGCCTTTAAAGAAAAAGAAAAACATAGCTTGAACCAAAAGCATGAAACAGATGGCAAACACAGTTGCATCTTCAGTCAAGCCATAAATAGAACAGGCAGCACACACAAACAAACACACCAAGGTTTGGGTTTCAGTAGTGATCCCAAAACTGAAGTCATTAGATTCCAAAGTGAATCTGGAGAGGATCACTGGAAGTTCTTGGAAAACTAAGTGTTTGTTTAAAGTCACTTTCAATTTACAGGAAATGATAAAAAAAAAAAAAAAATTGCCACAGCTGCAGTAGAGACAAAATAACAAAAACACTGGGTGTCTGTAGGTTTAACATGACAAAGTTAATTCTGCCTGATGTTTCAAATATTATCTTATTTTACTCAGATGTGGAACCCAAATGGCACAGTGCACAACGTGAAGAGCAATAATGACAGCAGCAAGGGTGGAGAACGATTATTATTAATAACTTAGACTACATGCTTAAAGGTTACAGTACAGAACAAGAAGGTTGGATAGTCATCAATATTAAATATGCCTATAGTGAATTGAACCGTGTAATGGCAAAAACACATTGTAAAGGGGTGAACCTTTTCCAATAAATGACATGCTGTCCACTCCCATGTGTTTTCTGCCAGCTAACCAGGGCCCCATAACTTAACGATTGTATTCCTATCCACTCTCATAATTCAAAAAAACTTAAAAGTTGTACATGGTATTCCCATGAAGGGTAAACTGTGTATTGAAGTGAAGAAACACTGCAGTTTTTCTTATTTTTATCCTTTATTATTGCTTTGGGGACTTAAATGTGTTTCAGTAGAACTTAGTGAGGTGACTTTATTTAACTTTACTAACTTCAGTGTCCCCAGTGGTCACTGTAAACATTCCAATTGTGAATTGCAAATTATAACCCATAATAACATAACATAATTATTCGTATTGACAATTATGGTCTTTGTGATATTTGTGTAGTATACATATCGTAAGTAGGGTACTAGTTCTTTGTGGTAGTAGTCCAGTCAGCAAAAATTAATGCACCTGCCAAACAGACCCACATCCACTTGCGAGAGAGAGAGGAGGGGAGAGAGAGCTAGACAGAGAGAGAGAGAGAGAGAGAGAGAAATGGCGCCTCGATGCTGCGCTCACTGAGGCAGTGTTTGGAGCCGGTTAGAGAGATTCAGTAAGGGCAGACAAAAGAAAAAACAAACATGGTGAACACAAGGAAAAGCTCACGGCCGGGGAGCGGTCCCTTCATCTCCTCCAGGACTAGGTCGTCGTCGAGAAACGAGCGAAACTCTGAGGAACATGTAAGCCGGTTTCTTTTCTTTGCCGGTGAGCTAGCTGGCTCTGCTAGTTGGCTAGGTAGCTGTAGCCGTGGCCTCAAGGTGCTCCACATAATGCATTATTCACAGACAAGTACGAACAGTACAGAACTTGACACCTGTTCAGTCATGCAGATACATAATAAAATAATTGAATGCAGCGGTTCATACGCGTGTCACTCGCACTGAACGTTTTGTGAAGCTGTCAAATTACAAGCTAGCGATGTTAACTCCTGGCTAGCCCCAAGTTGAGTTCCCTTTGTGTTTGGCAATTTTACCCGGCTGACTTGTTTCACCATTGTCTCCACAAATTAGCCTCGTAAATAAAGACAGCTGGGATTTTCACACGAGGCTATTAGCAGTACATCATGTCACCATCCTGGAAGTATCGGGGTATTTATTTTCTCAAATGTGAAGCGATAAAGCAATAGTTGAGCTAACGTTTGTAGGTTACAGCTAGCCCGACAGCTAGCTTACAGTGGGGGAAGGGAGTCCCAGGTTCACAACAGTTGGCTGGCTCAAGTCCCGTATTTAGCAAGTCTGAACTTGGTGAACTTTCTGTTGTAAATGCCCCAAAGACCCCTACAGCCTGTTTTACTATAAGTGTTCTAAAAGTGGCGATGTAACGTTAAACCGTATGATATTTTACTACTATTCGGAAATGTACACTCATTTAATAGCTTTAGTTTTTGCTCTGATCGCCTGACCTACAAGCTGTCTGACAGTCTTTGTCTCAAAATGTAAACACTGAGATTATGCAAGGCAAAGGGGTCTGTGTTTCCGCACTATTTACGATTATTATAGCACTTAACATAGACGAACAGCATAATTCAGCGATCTGATAATTTATAGAGTCATTAGCACATTCTTGAGTTTTAATGGGCTATTTGGCGAGGGTTTATACTTTGTTAAATTGTGGTTCAAGAAATTCGAGTCATTCCTGGCTTATATCCAGTCCTGTGGATTGCAAGCTAGGCTAACTGATGACACATGAAAATGCGAGTTGTGATTGAAAGGCTTTAGACTGATAAACCTTACACTTTCACAAGTTATTTCAAAGTATTCTCATTGTTTTTGTGCACTAAACTCTCTTAAGACGTCGCTGTGTGGAAGACCATGTTGTCAGAAACTTGTTGCTAAAACTGACCATTGTTGTGACTTTTTTTTTTAATTTAAATGAAGATTGACTTCAAGGTACAACTGTCTGGTCACTTCTTTTCATTCCTTATCTGGCAGTACATCTTGCACTTTTTAGTCTGTATGTATCTGCCTATCCAGTCAGACAAACCCCTCTGCAGGCATTGCAGACAGTTGCCTATGACAACAGTGAGATACAACCTCATATCAGCAGGGAAGTTAAGCTGTGAAGGGCATTAGCATCAAGGGCATATGTCTGGTTGGTGCTGTATTGTGAATCAGAGAATACATTGATGAGTTGGGTACAAGGTGTCTTGTCTCATTATAAGACTCTAGATTTTATTTGTACTTGAGCAGTTTGGTCAGACTTGCTCGTTATTTGCTTAATAGTCTGGTTTTATACAATGACTGACAGCATGAATTCTTCATGCAAGTAATTGCAAAAAGGCTGTTATGGTATTTGACATCCTTTTTTTCTGTTGCTTGCTTGTTCTGATTGTTTGTCATTCTTGCTTTGTTACTCTCTGAAATGTTGGTGTGGTTTTTGTTTACCAGAAGGAGCCCAGTAGTGATGTGAGCAGTCCCAGCAGCCCCAGGTTAGCTCCCCCTTCAAAGCGGACACGGCGGCAGACCGCCTCTGAGCCCAGCTCCAGTGATACCTCCCCATCTCCTCAAACGAAGGGCCAGAGGGTCAGCTGGGATATTCCCACCTACCGCACCAGGTCAGCTGCTTCCTTTTGTTTCACTGATCATAAGTATCTTTAAATGCTGTTTGAAAGCTGCGCATAATATTGTGCAGCACAATGATACAATGTCTTTGGCAGAAATAAGATTTTTGTTTTAATACAAAATTGTAATAGAGACATTAAGTTTATTAGCTTATTTGTCTCTGTAAAGTAAAAGTTTAATAAGCTGGAGTTAGTCTAGACAGCTGTTTGTTGTCACTGGCTGTTGCTGTTGAGTCAGATTTAATTCATTCTCCTCATGTCATATATTATAATCAGTGGAACAGACAAACTTGAACATGAGCTCTCCCACAGTATTTTGTGTGATTAATTGCAGTCTTCTGTGCAGATGTCCATACATATTTTCACTCTGTTATTTTCTTTCTAGGCTGTCCTCTCGCATAATGCAAAACGGGCACGGTAATACAATAGTATTTCCAATTTGTTTCATTTTTTTAAACCATACATTGAACATATGCATTTGGGAAACAAACAATTAAAAGACTGACCCCTAATTTAACTTTTGTTAATGCTGCAGCCCATATGAGTCACCGGAATGAGGATAGTGGAGGTGGAGACCACTCTCACATGAATGGTCATGTGGAGCTGAAGAGGAGTTGCCGGGTGAAGAAGAGCCAATTTGAACACCTCAATCAGAGCCTGCTGTTTGACCAGCTGGTCAACAGGTAGCTAGCAACCTCACTACTGACACATTTCTTTGCAGTGCTGCTTTTAACATAGGAAGAGAAAGAGGATGTGCATAACTGAATTGATTAGAGGTTAACCTTGGAGCATATGGAAGTAGACTCCTACTTGAGAAAAGTATGAGAAATCCAGGAAGTATCAACTTATAGGTATCATTTCGTCTTCCTC